GACAACAAAAGGATAGCATGGAAGAAGCTAGTGTGACTTCTGAAGTTCCAAAGCCTAGGAGCAACCACCCAAAAGAACCTCTCGTGCATTCTCACTAAATGCATCTGCAAGGATGGTGACACCACAAGCAGTATCTCCTGTGTCATCGTCTTTGCTTTGAGCAGGAAAATATTGTGTACTGTTGGGTCCTTGCTTAGTTAACTGATGTCATAAGATTCCATGCACCAAGGTGAATTAAAAAATATGTCTCTGCCATTACTTCTTCCACATGATCTCTGTTCATTTACCCTTCATCTACTTTCAAGGGACAAAGGGATATTGTATTATGGTGGATTTTGTCATCAAGGTCTCATGCCATTCTTACAATCACTTCCAACAACATCACTACAACTAACCTTATGTCCTATTTATCATTATGATGCACACACCCTGATAAGTGGCAGCCAATTAAAGATAGATTTTTTTTTATTTGTCTTATGCACAATATCCATTACAAAACATTCTTATAGAAGAATTGATCTAGTACAAAAGGTCATGTACTGGTGACAAAAATACTATTGCCTTAGACCAGGAATCGGCAAGATTTACTTACCTGGGGCTGGTCACTGGTCCCCAGGTCTTCCGCCGGGCCGGGGGGGGGGGAATGGCAGCGCATGCACTCATGCATGTGCACGCGCCTCCCGCCACCCCCACCAGCTGCCATCGCTGCCGTGCGCGCTGCTGCCATGCCGCCACCATGCGCATCATGATCGCCATTTTGTTTGCCAAAATGGCAGCCACGGCTTGTTTGTGCATGTGCAGTACTCCTGCACATGTGTGAATGAGCCGCGGCTGCCATTTTGTTTTCCAAAACAGGAGTACTGCACATGCGCAAATGAGTCGCACCTGCCATTTTGGCAAACAAAATGGCGGTTGTGACACGCGCGGCGGCAGCAACACACACAGCGGCAGCGGAGGTTGTTGGCAGCCCTGCCTTAGACACATGATGGAAAAAGGTTACAATAAAAACAAAAACACAGAGTTATTGGATAAAATATTGAACCAACAGTAATAATGACAGAAAAAACAACTGATCCCCATTGCAATCCACTGCTTCTATCTTCAAAATGTTGCAGTAGATCTTTTGTGCTGCTACTGCAAAGATCGCAAGCTTATGTGTGATGGATTTAGAATGCTCAGCCAACAAGGCACAAATAAATATCAGGCAACAACCAAGCTGCCCTCACTGTCAAGAGATCTTCCAGGAAACTTGTCCCAGGGTCACTATATAAAGGGCAATGTAATAAATAGTGAACTAGGGGCTGAAACAAACAACTGTATAAGGGCGTCTTGACGCCACCCCTTTGAGCACCAGATCAGAACTGCGGCAGCCACATGGCACAGCCCCAATCTGTCTATTTGCCCACTCAAATAGAAGTGGCCGAAAGCTTTTGAGCTGGCAAAAAGGTGCCCTTTCCGCCACTGCCACGGCTTTTTTGTGCTCCTTCAGTGTGCAACATTTGGTCATCTGGTCAGGCGGGAGCATGGCACCAGCTTGGGGGCAGCATCAGGGTGTGCGTCATCTAAATGCCATGCCCCCACACTGCCTCGAAGCCAGCTTATTGTGCCTGTTTGTTTCACCCCTAAGTCTTCCACCTCCCCAGAACTTCGAATGCCTAACTATTGCCTTAAAGGATCCCTTTATGTGTTCCCTCCAGATGAGTAGATGGCATTGTTTGAAAACAAAGGCTAGTAAAAGCTTTTGTGAGCTGCCAATTGTATGTGGTGAGAAATAAATAAATCATCATAATGATATTGGGTTAGGACATGGGCTTTGCTACACAATGTGTTTCAGTGTGAGAGAAAAGACTTGCATTTTGAATGTGAGTTTTGTGTTCTCTGAAGCATGGTTTCATCTTCAGTAATGAGGATGAAAGTTTGACTAAAGGCCTAAGCAGACTGCCAGAAATAGTGCACATTAAATTGAGGCACTGCCCTGGCTCAGTGCTAGGGAGTGATGGGAATTGTATTTTTTTCTGAGATATTGAGCCTTCTCTGTCAGAGAGCTCTGGTGCCACAATAAATTACTATTCCCATGACTCCCTTAATCCTTGCTCAGGTTTGGGAACCCACTGGGTGGACTTGAGTAAGTTCAGCCCCAAAGGAACCACCTTTGAACAAATCTTGCCAATAGCATTAGGATTGCTGTAAGTCAGAAACGACTTGAAGACACTCAACAACAATATAAACCCCTGAGCAACTTGGGAACAGGTTAGCCCAGAGACCAATTTCTTCCTTACAGGCCCATTCAGCCCTGTCCATCTGGATAGGCCATTCTGGTGGCACCATATGAACTCAGGTCACCTCTGCAGTCATTTAGAGGAGGGCATTTAGCACATCAGTAACCTCAATATAGAACACTACTCCCAAAATATTAGGTATGTTCTGACATGCCTAACATTTTTGCAAAGCTTCCCAGAGTAACCCTTATTATCATGTATTTTATTCTGATGGATAATGGCCAAGATCCTAGATCAGGGTGTGCAGAGAGCATAACACTTGCTACAGTTCCATGCTGCCTTTGTCTTTGGAAGGCAGCTCTTAAGCTCTGGGGGCACTGCCTGAGCCATTTACCATCCAGGGGAAAAAGATGGGATAGCCACCAGTCAACAGGCAGTTACACTTTTGCAGGAGACTGTAGGTTGCCCTTCTGGATCACAGGAAATCTGAGACAGCAACCTGAGCTGTCCTAGAGGCTATGCAGACCAGCACAAAGGGCTGGCCTGGGAGTGCAGTTGGGGCAGAGCAGCCGCATGCTGGCCGCCCCAAGCCAACCCGACGCCATCCTGATGCCGCGTGCCCTTACACATGGCACACGGCATCAGGACACCCTCCTGGCACATGGTGCAGACACACTGCACTGAAAGGGTGTGAAAGAGCCATGGTGTCAGCTCTTAGGGTCAGGGCCATGGCATGCAGTTGCCACGGCCACAATCTGCAACTAGCAGGGGCGGCCCAGAGCCGCCCATCTGCATAGCTCCCTTATCTGATTTCAAAATTAGCTGGGAGAGGTGCCAACTAGTTGCCTCCCTCTCTATTCCGCCACCTAGCCAGTAAAAAGCTTTGGTGGATCCTCTAAAATCTAAAAGCCAAGGTGGTGGAGAGAGTCTGTTTGGATATTGCATAAGGAAGAAGTGAATACCTGATATACAAGCAGGTATTGTTGAATTATGAGTATGTGCATAACCAAGACGTCTCCAACCTCTATATATTGATTCTGTGTATTGTTTCATACAAAGATATGAAAAGTTTTGCTGATCTGCCACATGTGCTCTTTCTTCCAAGGCCATTTTCACAGTTTCTTGGTCCAACTCTCCAGTGCTAGAAGAAAAACTAGCGCAGCAGTTTGCCTCTATTCTTGAAGGTCTGCACAAATAGCAGATTTTGTGACAGAACAGGGCAACCCTACCTCCAACCCGAATTCTATAAACCCAATAAAGCAGGTGGATTTTTTATTTCCTTGCCCCATGGGATTATTTGCATTTCTACACTTGGTGCAGCCTATGGTTGGAAATGGCTCCAGACATTCCAAGGTTGCCCAAACTTGCGTTATAATTCATATTTTACAATTGGTGTATACTGATTGCATTTTTTATCAATGCAGTCTTCAATGTAAGTGGTTTATAAAGATGAAAGAAAAGAAAAGAAAATCCATTCATATTTCTTGACAATATGCACCCTGACAAGAGTATATTTTATTAAAGCATTAATAAAAGTATTTTCTCCTGCTGCATTGAAGACAGTTGCATTTCAAGAACAGGAACACATTAGAGATTTATTTAGCATGGTTTCTGATAGCACTATGTAAAGCCACAAATGTCATAGAATCAGAGTAGAGTCCATGCTCCTGTACAATAAGAGGAGGAACACTTACTTTCTGATCATAGAATCATAGAATCATAGAGTTGGAAGAGACCACAAGGGCCATCCAGTCCAACCCCCTGCCATGCAGGAACTCCCAATCAAAGCATCCCCAAAAGATGGCCATCCAGATATATCAGGTCATATGGTATTTCACTGTGAATATGAAATCCCAGCAGGAAGGAATTGCTGTGGCTGTTCTCCTGCCCTACAGAGGCTGAAGCAGAGGCACACTGTCCAACATTTCACACATGATAACCAGGACATGTGTGGCCAAGCAACATCTGCATGTGCTCAAGGTGCCAAACATTATTAATGAGGAAGAACAGGCATGCTAAAAGAAGCTGCAGTGGTTTGCTTTTGCTTGAGCCTACTGGGAAGGGCAAAGCTCTTTTACTCTCCACTACTGCTGCATTAACTTAGGGCCTAAGCAGACTGCCAGAAATAGTGCACATTAAATTGAGGCACTGCCCTGGCTCAGTGCTAGGGAATCATGGGAACTGTAATTTATTGTGGCACTAGAGCTCTCTGACAGAGAAGGCTCAATGTCTCAGAAAAAATACAATTCCCATGATTCCCTAGCACTGAACCAGGGCAATGCCTCAATTTAATGTGCACTATTTCTGGCAGACTGCTTAGGCCCTTAGTGCAAACTACTTTTGGACTTTTGAACTCCATTTGCAGTAACTGAAGTAAGCTCAAAACAAACAGGGAGAGTAGGAAGAGGAGGAGAGAGAAACTGGTAAATTTTTAAAGCAGCTGAAAAAGTGGGATAACAAGGATTAGTCAGGACTGTCCCTGCCAAATCAGGACAGCTGAAGGGCATGCAGTGACAGGAAAAACATATGGAGTCATCTGCAATATAAATTGGCACATACACAAGGAACAAAGCGTACAAACCTAGAAGCCAGGGATGGCCAAGACACAGTCCTCAAAATGATTTGGACTGCATTCTTCACCATTGGCTACATTGGCCAGAGCTGACGGTTATTGCAATCCAGCAACATTTTGAGAGCCAGGCTTTGCCCAGCATTGTAGTAAGCCATTCAGTTCATGAAAACTTTCCCAAGTGATTTTTGGGGACAATGCATAATGTATACGTCTGTGTGGCGTAGTGGTTTGAGTACTGGACTATAATTCTGGAGACCAGGGTTTGAATCCATGCTGAGCTATGAAACCCACTGAGTATCTTGGGGAAGTCACACTCTCTCAGCCTCAGGGGATAAAGAAACTTGCCAAGAAACCCCCATGATAGGCTCACCTTAGGGTTGCAAACAGTTGGAAATGACTTAAAGGCACAAAACAAAGCAACATAATGGTGGTATCCATCTGACAGCTGCCAGAATAGTGCATATCAGACTGTTCCACATGCTGTAGCACATGAAAATACAGAGGACTTTGTAAATGTTTATTACATCTATGCAACATCTTTGTGCATCACAATTGTACAATGGGTTGTCAACCATGCACATTGGCCATTAATTCCCATATGTTGCACTATGCTGATATTCAGTATAGCACAACATATGGGAATCAATAGCCAATCTGCATGGCTGACAAACCCATTGAGTAATTGCAATGCCCAAAGACATAACATAACTTCATGGATGGATTGAAGCAATGTATTATCTTGGCCCGTCTTATAGTCTCAGAAGTCTCCAAAATTGCATTTCTAAATCAACAATGTATGGATACAATCCCTGATTCTCCAAAATATATTATTTTATTACTTTTTTATATCTTTGTTTTCCAAAGCCCTGGATCTCAGTACTGTTTCTTGCGTGGGAGGGAGGGGGAGCTGGAACTGTCTTGGCTGGCTATTTCACATTCCTGCTTGCCAGCTGAAAACTACTGGATTCTGGAGCCCTTTCAAGTGACACTTACTTCCAAATGTCTACTGAACTGCTGTGCTAAGAGCCATCTGGGCAGGAGGTGAGGAAAGGTAAGCTGTTTATGATTATTTCCCAATGTCATTTAACCTTCAGCATTAACATTTGGTTTGCCCTGCCACCCAGCAGGCAGCTGTAACAAGCAGGTGAAAAGATAGATGTCTTATTCTTAATGGCTATTTAGAAAACTGCTGCGCTTCCCCCTCCTTTCCCCCCCTTTGTACCTATGTTGGTGAAGTTCATTAATGTAATTAACCAATAATCAATCTTTCTAAATGAGTTACACAAAAACAGCTTCTGCCAGATCAGCTGACATCAAAGTGAGGTCGTGCTCTGTTTCCGCACGATTTAACATCCAACCTAGAACAGAACCTGGGCACAAGAGTATGAGGCTCTAGCAGCCAAATTCATCTGAAACACTGCAACTTAATTAAAGGGTACAAAATAAGCACAGCTGGCCGGGTAAGCCAAACTCCAGTTGTCATCTTCTTCTGGGCCTGCAGCTCAGCTCCTAAGTGTGAGCAAAAAACACAAGAAGGAGGGATATACCTTAGATAAGGCTCTAGGAAAGCTTGATATGACCAGGGATGTTCATCTGTAGCACTCAGAGTAGCACTCACATAGTTAGGAGGCATTTATGGAAACAATGAAGGTGTAAGGGAGAGAAAATTGGACTTGCTACAGCTATTGCAAGTTGTGTTGAATGCAGTAGGGGATGAGAAGCTCATGAAAGAACATGAGAAGGACTATCAGGAGGTCAGAGTGAGGAATGAAATGAATGATTTTGACAGATGCATTCTAGATGGAGGTAAGAGGGGAGGTGAGACCCATATGAGAAAGAAAGAGGCTAGAGCAGAAAGGATGGTTGTTAGGGAAGATGATAGAAGATAAATCTAAATATATTTTATTATTATTATTATTATTATTATTATTATTAAATCTGGAATCATATTTTAATAAAACATTAAAGCTAATGGTTTCCCCTTTGACAAGTTTGTCTTGTCGTGTCTGACTATAGAGGGCGGTGCTCATCTCTGTTACTAAACCAAGGGAGCCAGCATTGTCACAGGAGTTTATTGCACTCACTTTTGTTAATGATCCAGGCACTGCCTGGGGACGCATGTGAATGAGGGAAAATGGATTTTATTGCACTCAAAACAGTTGGCAAGCTATCCCCATGCCATTGCTTGACCTCAACCCACCCAGCCAAGCAAGCAAAGCAAAATTGGCCAGTTCAGCATGGCTTGGGGATGGGTTGTGCTTGAGTGATGGCATGGGGATAACTTGCCAACTGTTTTGAGTGTGATAAAATCCATTTCCCCTCAGTCACGCAGGTTCACATGCATTCCCAGCCACTGCCCAGATTGTTAAGAAAATTGAGTGTAATAAACTCCAAATACAACTCCGTGGTCAAGTGGCCAGCGTGACTGCACAGAATTCTGTTGCCTTCCTACTGAAGTGGTACCTATTACTTGCATTTGCATGCTTTTGCACTGCTAGATTGGCAGTATAGAATGGACTAGTGACAGAACCTCACTCCATCATGTGTCTCTTGGGTCTTGAACTGCTGACCTTGCAATCATCAGAGTCAGCATCTTAACCACTAAGCCACTAAATCACTAAACCACAGGGTCCCTTCAATAAAACATTAGGAAACAGATTAGGTTAAGATGCCAATTCTGATAATTGGAAGACTGGAAGATTGGCAGTTTGAGGCCCAAATGCTGCATGATGGGGTGAACTCCCATCACTAATCCCAACTTCTGCCAATTTAGCAGTTCAAAAGCATGCAAATGCAAGTAGATAAATAGGTACCACTTCAATAGGAATGTAACAGCATTTGGTTCAGTCGTGCTGGCCACATGAGCACCAGGGTCATCTACAGACAATGCTGGCTCTTCAGCTTAGTAACGGAGATGAGCACCACCCCCTACAGTCAGACACGACTAGACATTCCTGTTACGGGACTACCTTTACCTTTACCTTTAATAAACAATGGCATTCAGCTTGATTAATCAAAATGGTTATCATCTGGCACTCATAACTGTTTTTGTATATACTTCTTTGGGGACCACTGTACACCTATAGTATTCAGCCTTGAAGTTACAGCAAATATTTGAAAGTTGCTTTCTGTTTTAAGAGTATCCCATGCTAAAAGACAGACGATGCCATGAAGTCCACTCTCCCCGTGGACTTTTGCTCGCCCATCAAAAGAGCAGCTGGCATGTCTTACTCTTTTGTAGTGACAGCACTGACCCAATTGCATCTGCTACACATAATGCAAAGGACGGCTGGCATACACATAGAGTGACAGGGTCTGATCTCCTGTCACATCAGAGGGAATAGACAGAAATCAATCAGACAACCCTGAAGGACCAGTGGAGGAATTTGTTTAGGATTGATCACCATGGTGCTAAGTACTCAGCCCTTCCAGCTACTGTTTTCAAATGCTACTTTCCTCAGAGAGTTCAGAGCACATTACTGTGTGATGATTTTCAGGGCTGAACCAAAATTTGGGAGGCTCCCATGTAAACTCCTGTAGATTATAGGTAAACAGAAGGGGCAGGCAGCTTCATGGGGAGACCTCCTATTCACATCAAGCACAACTTTAAGTTGGGGGTTGGCAAAGAACAGGATTGGCAACTGGACTGCCAGGTCAATGGACACAGGCTGAGATCTCATGCAGTGGCATCACTAAGGTTGGCATCATCCAGTGTGGTAAGTCATGATGGTAACTGATGATGTCAGCACACACATACATACACCTGATTGACCTCCTCCCATACCACACCATACAGAATCTTAAGTAATGTATTTTGTACCCATGTTAGTCATGAATCATAATTCCTGCATACTGAATGCCATGGAAATAGTGGTGACATATACTACAAAATTAAAACTATACCTTTAAATTACAATATCATAGACACAGCCTAAATTTATTTGCATGTTCATAGTTTAAGTGGTTAATGAGAAAAAATTGTAAGATGTGATGTTTTTAAATATTTTTTTAAAAAATAAAATAATAATGTAAAATCTAAGTTTAATAATAATAATAAACAAACTGGGACCTCTCCTTTCTCCTACCACTGAGCCTCACTCCGCTCACACCATCTTTTCAGTATTTTAAAGGGATGCAGGCAAATGGCACAGTCCGTTTCTGCCCAAAGACCAATGTTTGGAGATCAGCAGTGTAACCGCTGCCCCCCCCCCCCATTAGGGTGTCACCTGGTGTGGCCAGCGCCCTCCACATGATACCCTTGGTCTCATGGCAGCATTATGGTTGTATTATGTAAGAAAGATGGTCTTAATGTCTAGGCCTCTATCTCTACCCCTTCCCAGCTAATGACAGTGCTCGCTGGCTCAGCACAAATGTCTTTATAGATGTAATGTGCTTGCACAACTTCAATACACTTAAAGGCAGAAATGAGCAAAAGGGATTAGGAGAGAGTAGGTGTGTGCACTTGGGTCAATCACATTTTTCAGCACTAGGTAGGGAGTGGACCACCGATGCTATGATTCATGATCCTTACACACTTTTTTGTGGCCTGAAACTGAATTTCCTTACAGCTCCAGCAGCAGCGGAGGGTTTGGGGAAAATCCCTACATGTCAGATAGATGGAAATGATGGCAACCACTGCAGCTGCTAAATGCATTTTGCCAATTTATGGCCATCGTTGCCCTATTAGCCACTGGGTTTCAGCTAGATTACCCATGTGCCCATTTCAACCAGAAGCATTTCTACCCCCCCTCCCCTGACACACTGCTGCATGCCTCCCCATGTAACAGGATGAGGGTCCAGCCCCCAGGTTCTGCTTATGGCCTTGAAAGGCCAGGGAATCGAATGGCATTTGCCATGGGAACTTTTGACTTTCTAGATGTTCTGGAGAAGAACAAATTATAAATTCATATGTTTTGGGTATTCTTCACAGCATGGCCAATGGTAAGGGATCAAGCACGTTGATGCCTAAAACATCTAGCGGGTCTAAGGTTTTCCAATCCTGCTTTGCAATCCTGCTTTGAACAGTTTAGTAGCCTCTTGTTGCTTAATGGAAGGACAGTTGGCTATACATGCCAGCTCCTTTCCTATGGTCCACAAGCATGGCATGCCAACCTCTTCCATCTTGTGAACTGTTGACTTCTAGACAACCTCTTTCCATCTGACACCTCCCTGCTCTCTAGTCTCTTGAATTTTGACTCCCTCTTTGCATTCTTCTATTCTACAAGTCCCTGGCAGGCATTTGACCCTGTTAGGACTGGCACTTCTGCTACTTTGTATATAG